AGAGGACCTTGTCCAGGTGGGTCTTGAATATCTCCAGAGAAGGAGACTCCACAACCTCCCTGGGCAGCCTGTTCCAGTGCTCCGTCACCCTCAGAGGGAAGAAGTTCTTCCTCATGTTCAGACGGAACTTCCTGTGCCTCAGTTTGTGCCCATTGCCCCTTGTCCTGTCACTGGGCACCACTGAAAAGAGCTTGGCCCCATCCTCCTGACACCCACCCTGCAGATATTTGTAGGTATTTATAAGGTCCCCTCGCAGCCTTCTCTTCTTCAGGCTGAACAAGCCCAGTTCCCTCAACCTCTCCTCGTAGGGGAGATGCTCCAGTCCCCTCACCATCCTCGTAGCCCTCTGCTGGGCTCTCTCCAGTAGCTCTAGACGCTTTGCTCTGGCTCAGCCAGGTGCGTAAATACCAATACCCCGGGGTTTTCAAGAATTTGTCATGGATGCAGCTGCAAACTGGGTGAGCTGGGTGGGTTTCCACCATGCAGCCGTGCTCACGTGTCTTTGGAAAGGATCCTCGCAGCACAGGGCTACGCTTCCACCGCCACCGCTGCTCCCAGAGGACGTCCCACCTCGCAGGCGCGATTCGCTGGAGGTGGAACAAAGCAGGATCACTTCTGCGCAAGAAAAAGCTCTGCAGGTTTGTTTCCACGGAGCGCGGGGCGGGAAGCCACCCACCCTGCCCGAGTGCCGAGCTCGGGCAGCCAACCTACGCGCTTCAGGGGCACTGCAGCAGCCCGAAGCATGGCACCCACCCGCCTGCAAAGCCCGTGCTTCCCGGGCTGGGGATCTGCCCGCTCATTCCAGCCCATCGTCGGGCCAGCGGCGATAACGGGGCCCAGCTCTTCACCCAGATTTCCAGCCGAACCGCCCCAAGTGCTCTCGTGGGAGCGCCAAGGCGTGAACGGTCTCGGTTAACGTCAGCCGTCGGTTTGCTGCCGGAACTGGGCTAGTGAAAAGCTGTTCTTGATGCACCCCAAAATTAGAGATTTTAATAATGAACATGAAGTCACCTGAGTACAAGTTTAAGCACAAAACTGGGGCAAATGGCAACACTGTATTTCTCCTGACTAAACATAATTACAGTTAACACTCCTGCAGGGCTCTAGAGATGTAAATATATAGGTTAAACATAGTTAAAATTCTACATCCTACTTAATTGTAGGCATTTCCAATGGAACGAAATTAGCTTTTATCTTCAGGTTTAAATTATTAATAACCGCGAACAATGTCACCACCTTTAAACAATAATCACAGCCACGGAAGAAGCTATTCCTCCCCAGATTTCCAGAAGCACTCGAATCAGCGTCCCAAGCGTACCTGGGGGAAACCAAACGCTCCCCTCGACGAGTCCGCGCTGCTCTCGGAGCATCGGTGCGCGGAGCGGGCTCCAGCCAACGCCGCCAGCCTCCACCCCCCCTGGCTAACGACTAATTACAAAAATTAGCGGGGGCCACCTGG